ATTTCACATGGTTTCACCCCAACCTATCTATAATTTGAGCTCACCTTTTGTGCTAATTATTGACAAAGAGGGAGAGAAATTCACAAAGATAATAAGATAGGAGGAGCAAACAAATGAAATGACATTGTAAGGGGATTAATCAAAAATGCACACAAGTAGGGGGAGCAAGCTCATAAATTTGTATGTTGCATTTTGATGTGCATTTCATATATTTGCTTGCATAGCACAAGTTCTAAATTTCAATATCCATGCTTGTGTGGTGTATGCTAGTTATAGGCTTGAATGATGAAATGAAAAACTAGCATGCATAGGCTAAAGTAACTAGACTTATGTTCATTCTATGAAAACTAGACCCTTGCTTGTAATGTTGATCTCATGGGGTATTCTAGTTTTTGTGTATGTCTAGTTACTAATGGTGCTAAGGATGATATATTGGTGCACTCCGATTGGTATCATGCTTCAAAGGTCCATCTCTTATACCTTAACATCATTTGGTAGAAATTGACTCCTATATTTCCTATCTAAGCATATGTGCAAGCTACAATCAAAACTCTTAGCACATATGTAGGGGGAGCAATTACTACCATTTGGAGTTCATGAAACTTGTCCATATTCTTTTACACATGGTAAATATGCTTGGCCAAGCAATGTGGATTCAATTAAATCTCAAATCATATCTTTGTGTAAGGGTTGTCATCAATTACCAAAAAGGGGGAGATTGAAAGCTCTAGTTTGGTTTTGGTTAATTGATAAAACCCTAAGTGCTAACCTAGTTTATCAAAGTGATTATGAGATAGGTAGCACTACTCCAAGTGATGAAGCAATGGCGAAGATCATGACGATGGTGATGGCATGGTGATGATCAAATGCTTAAACTTGGAAAAGAAGAAAGAGAAAAACAAAAGGCTCAAGGCAAAGGTAAAAATTGTAGGAGCCATTTTGTTTTAGTGATCGAGACACTTAGCGAGTGTGATCATATTTAGGATCAATAGCCATACTATTAAGAGAGGTGAAACTCGTATCGAAATGCGGTTATCAAAGTGCCACTAGATGCTCTAACTCATTGCATATGCATTTAGGATCTAGTGGAGTGCTAACACCCTTGAAAATGTTTGTGAAAATATGCTAACACTTGTGCACAAGGTGATACACTTGGTGGTTGGCACATTTGAGCAAGGGTTAGAAACTTCACCGACGGAGTGTCCGCCCGTAGAGTGCGGACAGTCCAACGGTGCCACTGGCGCTCTTTACAGAAAAGACGAAGGTCACTGAAAGTGACCGGACGCTGGTCTCGGTTGGACCGGCGCGTCCGGTCAGTGGCAACAGAGGGCGTGTGTTTTGGTCTTTGACCGGACGCTGGCGCTAAAAGAGACCGGACGTTGGTAGGGTGCGTCCGGTCAGTGCTGACTTACGCTGACGTGGGGCGCACAGAGGAAACATTGAGTGACCGGACGCAGGGTGTGTCCGGTCGAGCATGACCGGACGCGTCCGGTCGTGAAATGTCGGGTTTGGAACCTTACTGGAAATGACCGGACACTGAGATCCAGCGTCTGGTCACTTTCTAACTGACGCGTCCGTTCATCACTTGACCGTTGAAATCGGGCGATCGGCGTTTGAAGCCGATGACACGTGGCGCACATCGCACGACCGGACGCTGAGGTCCAGCGTCCGGTCAAGATGACCGGAGCATTCGGTCGGCCCGTGTTCAGTGCAGTGAAGAGGTATAACGGCTCTATTTCGTGGGGGCTTCTATTTAAGCCCCATGGCCGGCTCAAGCTCACTCTCTTGGCCATTTGCATTGACATAGCAACCTTGTGAGCTTAGCCAAAGTCCTCCCACTTATCTCCCTCATTGATTCATCATCTTTGTGAGATTGGGAGAGAATCCAAGTGCATTGCTTGAGTGATTGCATCTAGAGGCACTTGGTATTCGTGTGTTGCTGTGGATTTCGCTTGTTGCTCTTGGTGGTTGCCACCACCTAGACGGCTTGGTGCAGCGGTGGAGGATTGGCACGAGTTGGTGATTGTTCGTGGCCATCTCCGGTGATTGTGAGGGGATTTGTATCTTTCCTGACGGAGCGCTGAAAGGTAACTCTAGTGGATTGCTCATGTCATTGAGTTACCTCACTTGCGGGTAGGTTCTTGCGGTGTCCAATCGTGTGGACGAGGTTTGTGCAACACCTCTTAGCCGTCGAACCACCAAGTGTTGGTTGACACAACGGGGACGTAGCGTGTTGGCAAGCACGTGAACCTCGGGAGAAAATCGGTTGTCTCTTACCATTTGGTATTCTCCCGGTGATTGGTCTGATATTCATCTTGTGATTGGTTCACTTCTAAACACGGCGGTATAATCATCCTACTCACTCATTTATATTCTTGCAAACTAGTTGTGGCAAGCTCTTTAGTGTAATTAGAATTGAGAGCTTACTTTGCTAATTAAGTTCATCTAGTGGAGCTCTTTAGAGTAACAAGGTTGAGAGCTCTTAGTGAGTAGTATCATAGCAAGTTGTGTAACTAGCAATCATTGCAACTAGAATTGTTGGATAGGTGGCTTGCAACCCTTGTAGAGCTAGAGCAAGTTTGCATTTCGCTATTTGTCATACTAATCAATTTGCTCTAGTTGATTTGTAGATTTTTAAATAGGCTATTCACCCTCCCCCTCTAGCCATATTAGGACCTTTCACTTGTTTTCTAGGATTGGCGAAAGGCTCGTCGTGCGCTGCCGCTTGAGCCCGGCGGCGCCTGATGATGCCGCCGCTCTCGACTCCTTGGCGCCTGACGACGTCGTGCGCTCCAAGACGCCGCTGCTCCCTCGCAGCCGACGCTGTCATCCGCGATGATGACGAGCACATTCTTGAGGCGGCACGAGGGTGGTGATCTCGACCTTGAGCGTGCGGCTGAGGTCCGGCAGAGGTCGGCACGGTCGTCTCAGCAGATCGACGCGTGCACGACGAGGCGGCCCCCTCCCTCCCCATGTCTCCTACCCTAGCCCTACACCTGTGCTAGTGCTATCGGATGGAGAGCCAGCAGCTAGCAATGGAGTTTACGTGCATGCGGACACATGCATGCGTTGCAAGTTGCATTCATAGATTACTGGATCCGCGCATGTCGTGACGACGACGATCGAGCTAAGGACGAGCGTAGAAGCCTTCCTTGTCGCCCTTGCCCAGGCCGCAGACGAGCCTGAGCGTGGTGCGCGCATACTGGGACCAGGCGATGTCGAGGAGTGCCGCCACGTCTGCTCTTGTGAACTGTCAGCATCACGTTGGCGATGCCATGTAGGCTCGTGGACCTAAGTGACACCACATACAAGTTTAAGGATCTACCATGTATTTAACTCTATGTCATTTTAAGTTAGTTATAATAAATTAAATATTAATATAAGTGAGCAATTTAGTACTCTCTCCATTCTAAATTATAAGAATGCTTTGTCTTTTCTTGATATATTATTTTACTATATATCTAAACGTAGTATATATTTAAATACATAGCAAAAGCTATGTATCTATACAACCAAAATGACTTGCAATTTGAAATAAAAGCGAATACTTTATGGTTAGTTAAGCATTTTCTATTAAGCATGGTGTACTGTTAAGCATGTAGGACGGAATTGGTTGGATGCATGGAGGCCGAACTAGCCCCACGCCGAGAATACACCGATGCATACGTGATTGAAAATAAATATACCGGTAAAAAGTTATAGCAATTTAAAATAAATATTTTGTTTTTTAGCCTGCATCAGCGGTGATATCAGCGGCCACATGCAGCTGTGCGCAGAGAGGGCGTGGGCGCATGAGACTAGCCGAAAAAGTACAACTTCCTAAAAAAAATGAAAGTTCCGGATTTTTTTTTGACAAAAAAAAAGTTACGGAAAAGCTTAATCATTCACTAGATTTGAATGTAGTGAACGCCCGCGGAACTGGAATTGGCATGAACTGTTGGTTCTCACGACTTGCTACTTGATGCAGCAGCAGTACTGCCCCAACGGCGGTAAGCACAGCCCGGCCTTGGGGTACTGGAACACCGTCCTGCACCGCTGCACGAGTGGTTGCAGTCCTTAAAGAGTTGAAGTCCTCGCACTTGCCCCGGCAATCGTAACGCGCTGTCTCTGAACCACAAAGCCACAAGTGTTACATGGAGGTGAGACTAAGTATACTCTTATGCAGTGAGACTGAGAGAGTACCGTACTCTTATGCAGTGAGACTGAGAGAGTACCGTAAGTTTAGATTTCTGAAAATTTCCAAAATCCTTTTGTTAGTATATATAGCAGCATACAGTTTAGGCATACGATAGGATGAAAGGGTGGCGAAGCAACGATGAGGACGGCAACGACAAGAATCCTGCAGACGGCATAAAGAAAACGATGCAGCTGTTGGCGTCGTCAGTGCTACTGGCTCTGCAATTTGCTGAGTGCGTGATGGCACTTCGCCGTCGTCCGTCGATGTCAGCTTATATATTTCCAGGTTACGTTTAATTTAATAAACTCCTAAGTTTCAGATGCCAACGGTGCCCGCTTTTACGATCGAGAATCCGGAAATCATAGAAACAGACGCCTGCTTTTGGTAGTTTCAGAACTGGATTTGCATTGCTTTTGACCGCAAGATTATTTCTCCAGCGTTCACGGCATTGGAAAGTTTTAGCCTTTTAGGGACATCTCTGGTATGCCTGTGATGGTGTTCTTGGAGCTGAGTCGATCAAACTGCTTTTATTCTATTATTTGCTCGTTGATAATTGGGCAGCAACAGATGCACAAATCCAGACTGATCAAGTGAAGCATCACAACCTGTTTTACAAACCACGGTAACCTCACAGCTGGCAATAATGATCAAACAGATTGGCAATAACAATCTGTTTTAGAGATGTGCAGAAGTTGCTTCATGTTGAAGTGCCACATACATGTTACACATTTGTTTCTGAAAATTCAACTACAGCGAGGAAAATCAAGATCCCGATGTGTCCAGTCTTGTTACAGCTTACGTTGAAGAAAAGTTAGTCTTGTCGTCATTGCCGTGGTTTTTGGAGCTTCTGCAGGAAGGCCTTTGATCTTATATCCGCCTAAAGAATAAAACGAAAGGCCTATCATATTAGCGACTCAAGAAATAATCATGCACATTATATCAAAGCCTGCTTCTTCAAAAAGGCAATCCTACTCCTACCTGCCTTGTAGGCTCAGGAACACGGTATTTACAACAGGACTTCACTATCTCCGTGGCTGAATCAAGTGAAATGCGATGCCCAACTGAGACATAGATTGGCTTTGATGAACCAGGGCAGGAGCGCAGCGCCTGGCACAAATGAACTATTCAGTTCCACGAGCTTAGCTAGGCAGAAAAGACATTTAGGTCTGATGTGGAGTCTCTTACCATGCCCCATTTTGTCCCAGACTGTCCAGTCAACAAAATGAGTTCCTTGTTGCAGTTCTCTTTTGATTCAAACAGCCTTCTGACTTCTGATTGGTTAAGGCCATCTACATGATGTAGCTATGTAGTTGAAACATTGAGATTAGTCTTCTCCGAAAGAAGGGGAACACTGAGAAATTGAATTCGGTGACAATATTCCCAACAGCTGGATATCTATAGATGTACTTGTGAGTTGAAACTGCACTACTGCAGTGAAGTAACCTACATTTTTTCCAACTCCAATAGTAGGAACGTCTGCAAGGACGCCGAGATGACAAGCTAAGCCAAAACCTGCTGAATGCAGAAGTTAGAGGGTGACCCAACGACATATATTAAAAAACTAATGTAATGAAGAATATAAAGAACAGATTATGTTGATTTTACATTCTTGAAGCTTTGTGGGTTATTTATATGCATATCAGACAAGATGAACCATATCACCAAGTCTTCTTGCTCAGGGTTCACACAGCTATGAGGGCATTCTTTTCTCAAAATAGCATAGAAACAGAAAATGCTCCATTTTCAATGGATACTAATACTAATAGCCTAGCACAATTAAGAAAGATTGTCTATTTCACCAAATCTTTCCAATGAGGATTCATATATTAAGGCAGTTTGCTCTCAAAATAGGAAATGGGGTCACAGAGGATGTGATTAGACAGCGTCCTATAACATGAATAGTTTTTCTAAAGTGAACCAAGATTTCCTTTCAAAGAAATTAACTAAGGTTCTTATGAAATCCAATAACATGATGCACACATTAAAGATTATTTCACAATCTATCTATAAAATCTAAGTTTACATGTGCAAAATGCCAACATTGTCAACTAAAGCATTAAAGTAGCTAAACGCAATAAGCTAGCTACTTGAAACCATTACTGTGAAAATGAGACTGCCAGTATCAGCAAGCGGTTAATGTGTTTTACCTCGTGGATGGATTAATCCATTTCCATCAACCATGAGCAACTGCCAGGGCAGAATGGTAAACCTTAGAAAAGGCATGGGCAAATACAGTTAAAAGATATATTAATTCAGAAGATGCTATAATATCCTATGGTGATTATGCAAGACATCTCATAAACTAAAATGATTCATAGTCATGAAACGTAACCACCGGAACAGTAGAATTCTTCAAATGCATAGCCCCAGTAGTCAGTAATTGTATTTACATGATAATAAACAAAAGCATATGCCTTGTTTCCTATGGCCCCTTATGCAACCTGAACATTTTAGAAAGTGATGGTATCACTTCCAACTGAAGTATACAGGAATTTCCCCCCTAAATTTGTTGTTACAGTAACCGAAAAAAATTTACCTGAGGGTAGAAATGAGGTGCATTGATCTTCACCTTTTTCAAGAGTCCAAGAAGAATTGGAGCCTGTAACGATAGATAGCCTTGTTTACTTGTTCAGAATACATGTTGGTACATTTTAACAGTAATATGAAAATATATATCATACATTTTGATCAGTGACCACAAAAGAAAGATTTTTGAAAGACATGCACCTATCTCAAGATCTATGATTTTTGATTGATCATACTAGAATCCCTTGGCTCTAGACTTTTGAGGCAAGAAGAACGAACAGTTAGCAACAGGGCATGCCACACTTTTTGCAGCAGTGATAACAACTTATTTGTTGGATGAAATGTGCAAAAAAAACAGAAAATTTTGGATGAAAACAATTGCACGCCCAAAAAATGCATAATACCTCTCTGAATGCAAGAAATCCAGGAATATATGGCACTTGCAGTCGAACAACATTGAACTCTTCATGGACAACTTCTAAAGTATCGGCATTGAGGACTACCACAGCGGCGCATGCTGTGGCTGGGTCTTCCTTTAAGAAGCTAATGTCAGTCCCACCAATATACTTCAGTTTGCAACTTTCATGTTCATCTGAACCTGAGCCCACCGAAGGTAAACTCCAGGCAAATTCATCTTCAAGAATAAGTTTACTCTTGAGCATGTCTTGTGTTCTGTATGGCCAAACCACCAGCAAGATATATGAGTCAAGTCCTGCCAGACTGAAGAGATTATTACAAACAGGTGGTGCAAGGTGGATGAAGGCATACTTGATCCATTCTTGTTTCTGCAGCACCAAGTCGTGGTCATCTCCTTCTTGGTACCCTTGAGCATCATCCATTCCTATTGTACTCCTCACAAGATAGCTAATTCTTGCAGCACCGTGGTTCTGAACCCTCCAGAGAAGATGACAAACCCTGACAAATCTAGCCGTCAACAAAATGTAGAACTGTGCGATTCAGAATCAAGCACTGGGTTTAACACAAAAGGGGCCTCCCCAGATGTCTCCCCCTCTTTGGTCCCTTCCCCTAAGGTTAGTGGCTGAGCTGGTCAATTTTCACACCTTGGGCTACTATCAAAGTATGTGAACCACCAGCACCTTGTCAAATACCACCCACACTAGGTATAATACAGATAGATAAACAAACTACCTCATAAATGCATAAGTTTAGATGATACTCCTATCTCAATTCCATGCTTAAATCCACAGCATACTTGATGAAAACATGAAAGTGGTAAAAAAAAAATTACCTAACTAATGAAGGTTTGGTTTGCCCTCGCCTCTCACACTTCATTAAAAATAGAATTTCAATGTCATTGTCCTCTTCATTCTGCAATTCTACAAAAACTAACAAAGACACATAATTATTCATGGGAATTGGCAAAAGGCAGGTGACATGAGGATTTCACGATTGGGGAATTTAACATAGAAATAAAGATTAGGATTTGGGAATTAACCTGCTGTTGCTGCCTCACTGGAGACTGAAGTTGGGTCTGGCTTGCTGTCGACTTGTCCTGGCCGCGTGCCAGCTGCCGGCCGGAGGCCGCGGCGACCACGGACCACCCTGCTGCTGTGTGCGCGTGCTGACCAGCAGCCAGTGGCCGGCGCCCCGGCTTCCCGCCTACAACTTGACGACCAGCAGTAGCGCGGCCGCGGGCGGAGGGACAACGGCCTGCTCCGATTAGATGCTTCACCGCCGGATGCCCTTCCGCCTTCCTTGTCCGATGCAACGGCGACTAGGGGAGCCGGGAGACGAAAGGAGAACGACCAGCGAGAGAGGTGGCGGTCCCGACGTGCCGACGTGGTAGCCCGTAGCCAGGTGCCCAGGCAGGCAAGCCCAAGCGCTATTATTGCCTTCGGCCCTTTGCTTCAGTGGACTGTCAGTTGGGGCCTGGGACACCGAGGGCCATATCATATTGGGCCAGAAAACTAAACGAACACGTGTTTGGTAGCGAACAACGTTTCGGATTAAACGCCACGTTTTAGAAAGAATTTCTTGAAACCGATTCTTATTTTTCTACAGTTCAGAGAAACACCGGAAAAATCCGGTTTCTTCGGATTGTACTTCTAGTTTCGAGAATCCAATGAAATAGCCAAACAATTTCATAAGTGATTCCAATTCATCGGAGAATTAATGTTACTCGAAATGTTTCTAGAATCTGGATGCCTGCCAAATGGCTCTAAAAAGATAGATATATTATAAAGATAGAGATACACTGGTATAAGAGAAATATGCGGTAAAAATGAGAATGACAATTAATTTGAGACTAGTATAAAATAAAAGGCTAGAAGGATAAATATTATGAGATAGATGGAGTACGAGCCACGACAGTTGCCTTGCCCTAGATCTATACCCACTCCTGCCTCTAGGGTCGGTCTTGAAGAGACGCAAGCTGGAGGTACTCCTGAGGAGTGTCGATGCATGGTGTCTATTGAGATCGCATCAACTTTATAGATTTTGGTGGATGGATGAAATCTCCCTCAGCTTATAGTCTAATCTCACAATTTCATAGCTACTGCATCATTAGATTACATGTAAAATATTTGTGATCAAGTGTGCTATATGATTACGGTAATGCTGCTTATAGGTCGCCCGTCGTCCGTCCATCAAACAGAGACCGTATAAGTCGTCGCGCCGCTTCGCGCTGCGCCTCGCCTGCGCCGACCCAAGACGTGTCGTTTGCTTCGCTCGGCCATTGTATTTGCGCTCTGCTCAGATGGACCCCCAGCCTCGCCACGCCACCTCGCTCACACACGTGGCCTCGTCCGCGCCGCGTGCCCCTGCCCAAACTCGCGCCTCCCATCGCAGTCGCGCTCCATCCGCCTGCCCATGTCCCCGCCGAGGTCCGTGCCACCGACGAGCTCCACACCGGTGTCGAGGTATGACCCCCGGTATCCACAGGACAAGACATGTGCCGCACCATCAAAGGTCGCCCAACCCACAAGATCAAGGCGTGCACCGCAAGGCTACAAGAAGATGTGATTTATTGTATAATACCAAATAGAATATTTTTCTTATAACACTGTCCCTCCAGAGTATATAAAGAGAGACAGGGGCCCCCTAGTGGGCATCTCCACATATCTCAATGTAATACATTGGAACACAGGATGTAGGTATTACGTCATACTGACGGTCGAACCTGTCTAAATCTTGTGTCTCAGTGCTTGTATTACCATCTAGTTCGTATCTCACGCACCTTCACCGATTCATCTATTACCATGGGCATACCCCTCGGTAGACCGCATGCCATATTTCGTCGATAGTGGCGCGCCAGGTAGGGAGTGTGCGTGCTGATTCTATGGCGAACGAGATGGGAATCTTTTCTTCAACCAACATCGCCAATAACTCGGCATTCGGCGGCAACTCGACGCTGGCATACAACAGATTGCTTTCCTCGGCGAACGGCCGCACGTGCTGGAGTCCGATGCCTTGCCATTGGAACACCCTCGGTGCTACGCCCTAAACAAACTACTAGATCATGTCATGAGCATCATGTTTATATGATAATGCATATGATAGAGTGTGTAGATAAATTTCTTATAAACTAAAATGAATAATAAAAATGTTAAATGAAAATTGATTCAGTAGCTCATGTGTCAAGTAGGGTTGAAAATAAATTTTTATTGAGCAAAAATATTATAGAACATGTGTGCAACACCTAAATAAAGTTTGAAGTACAAACTTTATAGATGACAATGCAACTCTTGCTGTAGAAAAATAACATTGCTAGCTAGTATTTCTAATAGCTTAGAATTGGAACTTGAAATTGAATCCAGCTCAAAACTTAGAAAATTCCTCAAGTCTAAAGACAGTTTGACAAAACCATGTTTGGGAATTAATCATGTGAAATTGAGTTAAGAGGTCGTGTCATGTTTTAGCTCTGGTTTGTAGCCTAATAGGCCCTTTTTAGCATAGTAAAGGCGGTTTAGTTTCAACTTCAGTAATTTAGTTTTTATCGATGCTTTAAAATTCGTGCACAAACACAGTCTCGGGCTTGTTGGCCGGGTGGGCGCGGTCACCACGCTCGGGACCCCGATGTCGCCATGCTCGGCCGCACGCGTGCTGCCGCGCATTGGCCGGCCAAGGCTGTCCTCGGCCTGGCCGGGGCCTGGCTGTGGCCTGGCGCTGCGGGCTGCCGTGTTGCTGCCCCACCTCGCCATCGCGTTACTGCCACTGTCGTTGCTGCCTTATCGAGCTTCTAGGGCATAGCCACTGCCGCCTTTGGCCGTTGTCGTGCGGTGCTGCTGCCACCATGGTACCGTGCTACGCTGCTGTTGCTCACCTCATCGCCGCGCGCACGTGTGCCGCCCCTGCTTCCTTGCGCCGTCGCATCGCCTTAAGGGCGCTGAAGCCGCACATGCCGCGCTCCCCAACTGCCTCCATGCGCACGCACGATGCTGGGCTGCGTTGTCTCATAGCAAGTGTGTAGGTGTTGCCTCGGGTTCAGCCTACCGCTTGCCACCAACGAAGCTATGAGAGGCCGGCCCAGCTACGCCATTAGTTTTACCTCGACTCCCTCTTTGCCCGGCGCTCGTCAATCGAATCACTACCACTACCCCGGCACCATCGCCGTGGCCGTGTCATCTGTGGTGCATCGCCACATGGCTTGGTCGCACGCGGCCAGCCCTCCTCCGTCATCCTCTACCCCAACTGTCACTTCGATCGAGTCCACGATAAGCTCCTGATGCTCACACGTTAGCCGGTTAGGCCCGTAGCTGCCCTAGTTCACCTGAACAGTTGTGCCGCCATCGTTGATGGCCAAGCGTCGCTGCAGCCCTCACCAGTGAGCCTCACCACTCCTCACCACCACCCAGCACGGTAGTCTAGGTTGGAGATGGCGATCGACCTGTTAGATGGGTCCGCGCAGGTCCTAGGTGGCCGGCGTAGACGTCCAGTGCCATCGCTCGCCGCGCCGCCGTGCACAGGGTTGCCCGGGGTGCGCACGGGGAAATTAGGGAAAACTCAAGGGGTTAAATGAATTCACCAGAGAAAGGAAGAAATAGTGTTAGGACTTAGGTGTAATTCAGGAGAAGTCCGAGGGCTCTTTTCCAAAAGCGTCAGCGTGCGCGGGCTCCCCGCCGTGGGCCGTGCCTGCACGGGCCACGTGTTTGTGGGCCACATGGTGGAATCCGTTTTTCTTTTTTCCTAAGAAACTAGTAATAGCTTTCTATTTTAATTTCTGAGCTGATCTTTGGTAATTAATATAAAATTATGTAGGTGTCTAAAAATTATGAAACAAATTTTGTTAGGTTCCTAAAATTATTGTCTATCTATTGGTATAGTTAATTCATACATATCTGTGTTGGAACTAAGGGTTATTAAATCGTTTGGATGTGTTTAATATTATTAGGATAATTATTGTAGGAATTTTTGTGGTAAATTGGTGATAGCTTGGATCCTAAAATTTTTACAGTAGCTTCATTGTATTATTATGTGTTTACTGTAATTTTTGCAGCCCTAATATAACTTGTTTGTTAGGGTAACTAAATATCCATTAAACCTTTAATATGAATAAGAGAAGAATATTGACTTATGAAATGAAGCACTTGTTAGGGTGAGCTTGACACTTGATTTGATAGAGCAGATGGTTAGCTTAATATTTTAGTCGTTAGAGCTAGCTTGTTAGTATGGCATATGTGTCCTTGAGAGTCGAGAAAATATTCCCACTAGTCGGGTAAATCTTGCAAGTACATCGTGTACTCAGGGTTTATTTTACCCTCTTGCAGGTGCAGCTTGAGGAGTTAGCTCTTGCGGGGAGGATTCTTTTGGTGGGCACTGACGGATCCGTGTTTCATTTCCGCTAGATGATCATTATATTCTGATGTTTAATTATCGCACT